TGCAAGTCCACTGCTGCAGGCAAAGACATGCTACAAGGCAATGCACACTTGTTTTTACATCGTAAAAACTCATGTCTAGTTTTGTTTTATTTTTTGTAGAATTGGACGTTTTAAAATAATTAATATCTGCATGTATGCATTGARATTGTGAAACACCAGTGTGCTGAAATCATCACAGCCACAAAATTAGGCAACATAGAAAAAAAAAAAGAAATTGTGATGTAAAACAAAGGCACCCATTGCATCAAACCAACATTCAGATCTTGGATTTGAGGACAGAACTCGGTCAGCTCTGSAAACCAGTTTTGAATCGAGACAGAAAATCAAACAGAGGTTAAATGTTTGAGGTGACTCTTGTCACTAAAATATCTGTCAGTGTTGGATGAGCTCAAAACCAGAAGGTGTTCGGCAAGAAAAGCCTGTAGTTGMCACCTCATCAGAATCACACAGACACAGTTTCATAGTCAGGACTTTTAACTGCTTCAGTTGTTGATGAAAAAAAACATATGTTCAGCTAAAATTTGTCAGAACSTTTTTAAGGTAGTACCTCACTGAGCTGTTTTTTATGACTACTTCATAGAGTTCTTATATATCTCGCAATGTGGGTAACAAAATAATGTCAAATGGKCTAGAACACAGTTTTTGCAAGCCTTGCATGCAAAAAGAAAATGGGTGTGGAAAACAGGACTGGACTGCTGATTTAGTTGCAAACATTCAACATTCTGACAATGGAAATTTAGCATATTTGTGACCCATCATATCGAAATGAGGATTGAGTCAAATTTGTTGAAAATGACCTAATTATATTTCCAAATTCTTGTGTTTAAAAGCTAYATTTTGATACCTGGATCATTCTGATAACATCACCTTATCCAGAGATATGATTTAATTTGCCTTGTTGGTTACAATAATACATAAATATTTGGTCTGAATCCTAATTTTATGTAATTTTAATGAAGATTGTTTGATGTCCTTATAAAGAGGAAACTTCAAATAGTATTTAAGTAATGAAAATTTCCAGCTAGAAAGAAACAAAAATATTTCTAGCTCACTGGGAAAATCTCAAAATTTTAAGGTGATTTTTACAAAAAATCAGTTTTTTTTTGCTACTGCTCAAAAAAGTGCTTCAGAATTTTGTTTTATGGCTATATTTCAGTTCATTCAAACGATACATTGATTAGGCATTTATTCATTATGTGTTGACAAAATGCAATTTTTGCAAACATTTAATCAAAACACTAWATCTGCCTTTTTTTCCATATAACACGTTTAGACTTAATCCTTGTGGAGCCAAGATGTCGGGTGTGCCGTCTTGTGTTTTCTGGATATATATTTCACATATCTTCCAATCTCTCTTTCACTCTCTCATTACATTTCACTTTTTTCTTTCTCTTTCTTTTTCTCCTTAAAAAAGCCACTGATGATGAAGAAGCTAATATACWAATATTCAGATATTCAGTTCTGCTTTCTACTGAAGTGGCACAGAAAAAGGGGAAAAAAAGATTTAATCCTCATTTCGATGTGATGGGTCACATTTAATCACAATGTTGAGTTTAGTTTAAGTTGCTAGAGTCACAGTCCAGTGAGCTACTAACAATGATGTTTTTTTTTTTTTTT